TTTGCAGCCCGATTCATAACCACTACGCTACCAGAACTCTCTCTCTCTCTCTCTCTCTCTATATATATATATATATATATTTACTTCAATATAGTGAATAAAACAAAAGTAAACATCTTTATTTTACTCTCTGCTTTCAGCCAAGATCCATCCAATGTTAACAAAGACATCTCTAATTCCACATCCTCTTCTGAATCTGGAAGCACCCCGATAATACACTGCATTTTTCTCTATTATCGATATGATTGCTGTAACTATAGACTTGCCAGGTTATTCTTTTTTTAAAAAACTGTTTTATTGTGAATTATGTGATAGTTTACATGGGAGAACATTAGTTTTACATTCATCGTATTGTATATCGTTTCATTGCCATGGCTACAATCCCCTCCATGCATCATCAACCAACCACTGGGTATACCCTGCACGCCTGCACCCCCAGTTGTCAGCACACAGTCCCTCTCCCTCTCTGGGTCTAAAGTCCCCAGCCACTCCATCTCTCCACATCATCATCTCTGCCTCTGTCTCTGGAATCACTGCTGCTCTGGGTAGGGTCCTGCTCTCTCCTCTTCGCCCTTGATGGTCCCAGGGACCTCTGCTCCTATACTGCAAAGTTAATCACTCCCCTCCTTGCTACAAAATGTCTACCTTTACATTTCCAACCCTCACAATCAGTCCTGATAACAATTATTCACTATTGTTATCACAAGAGACCTTTCCACATTTCCTTTCATCAGTCCCACCTAGACAGATTGGATAATACTCAGTGGAGAGTCTACCTTTCTCTGTGCCCTCTGGATCTAGATTGCTTCTTGAAAGCTTGTAAACCAGTCACTTCTTGCCTTTGAAGCCCCCCTATTTTGGGTAACTAGTGTCCAAGTTGCCCATCCCTGCCTACTCTGTGTATGAAGGGGTTGGGAATTATCCTCTCTGTAAAGATTTGTTCCCTCTTTTGAGCTACTGTATCCATAGGTGTAGGTCAAATTCGTCAAATTGTATTACTCTTTGTTTCCCCCTCTTTCTTCTTCTAGTTGAGCTCTGATCATCCAGTCATTGAAGCCAGATCAAGTGGATATTATCTGCAAGTGTGGGTATTCTTGTGCATATGCCCTCTCTTCTTATCAGCTGGATACTTTACTCTCCACTCTAATCCTCTGTGGATATGTCACTGACTCTGGGCCCAAGAGTTCGCAGGTCTTGCCACACTGCTGGCCAACTAAGTCTCCACCCGGGTTCACAGGAGTCTATTGAACGTTGTAGGGTTTAGCTCGCAGCTTCACTGCTGTTTTTCCCTCACTTCCCCTTATCGGTAATGAACGTGGTCACCATTCACAGCATATATTCCTATTGAGTCTTAGTCTTGGAAGGGGGTTTGCTCTGAGGGGACCCAACCACTTGCCTTGATGTCTCACGGGCGAAAAACTTGTTTGTTCTTGTAGTAATCAGTCTGTCTTCCTATACTGTTTTGTAATTTTCCTGTTGGTCTTTCTTGCAAGAAGTATCTTCTGTTCTTCTAGCTGCTCCAGGCCAGTCTCCTTGTCCTTTCAAGTGGAAATTTCCCACCTCTGAAGATTCTGGATGCTGTTCAGGATTCCACCTATGGTCTTATGTAATGCAGAGGCTGCAGGAAGCTGCCTTCACAGGGCACGTAGCCCTATTTTAGGTATTCCAATCAGTTATATGCAGGTGGACATACAAGCTTTCTATGGTAATATTTCTGGCTATTCCTTTATCTCTCCCTCCATTGTCTATTTTATAATGATATGCCAGGTAAAGCAAGATTCAAAAGGCAGCTAAGCATCTTAACATTATTTCCCCCCTTCTCTCCATTCCAGCCATGGCTCAATCTCTGTATCCCAGAGCCCTTTTGTTCCAAGGTTGTGCACACATCATTCTTTACCTCTGTCCCACTTAGACCATGCAAACCTGCCTAATTGTTCTCCCATCTGCAGTTCCACCAGCAAGGCAGGAGCATTCCAGTCTCTCCACATCCCCGCCAACATTTATTGTCCTCTACTTTTTTTTTAAATCTGTGCTGCTGTTGCTGGTGTGAGGTGATATCACATCATTTGTTTTGATTTGCATCTCTCTAATGGCTAGTGATCGTGAACATTTCTTCATATGTTTGTTGGCTGCCAGGATCTGTTCCTTAGTGAAGTGTCTGTTCATGTCCTGTGCCCATTTTTTAATTTGGTTATTTGTCTTTTTCTTGTAGAGTTGCTGTAGTTTCCTATATATCTTAGAAATAAGTCCCTTGTCTTATGTATCATTGCAAAAGATTTTTTCCTATTCTATGGGTTCCCTTTTTACTCTTTTGATGCACATAAGTTTTTAATTTTTAGTATGTCCCACTCATCTATTTTGTCTACTTTTGTTAGTGTAGTTTTCAAAATGTTTGCTAGTCTGTATATTCCCTAAATTAGTGTCCTCACATTTGTCCCTATTTTTTCATTGATGACCTTCATTAATTCTGGGATTCACATTTAGGTCTTTAATCCATGTTGAGTTGATTTTTGTATAAGGTATGAGTGAAGGTTTTGTTTCAGTCTTTTGCACACCACTTTCCAGTTCTGCCAGCACTATCTGTTGAAGAGACTATCACCTCCCCATGCGATATATTTAGGTGTTTTGTCAAAAATCAGTTGGCTGTATGTAGATGCATTAATTTCTGGATTCTCGATTCTGTTCCATTGATCTATGTGTGTTTCATTGTACCAATACCAAACTGTTTTGACCACTGTAGCCGTGTAGTAAATTTTGAAGTTGGGGAGTGAGAGGTTTCGAACCTTATTGTTCTTCTTAAGCAGTGCTTTGCTTATCTTGGGTCTCTATCCTTCCCATATAAAGTTTGTAAGTGTTTTTTCCATCTCTTTGAAGAATGTTGTTGGAATCTGGATTGGAGTGGCATTATATGTGTAAATTGCTTTGGTCAGTATTGACATTTTCACAATGTTAAGTCTTCCTATCCAGGAGCATGGTACATTCTTCCACTTTTGTAGGTCTCTTTTGGTTGCTTGTAGTAGTGTTTTGTATTTTCTTTGTATAAGTCCTTTGTTTCTCTGGTTACATTTATTCCTAGATATTTCATCCTTTGGGTGGCTATTGTAAATGGTTTTGCTTTCCTGATGTCCTTTTCAATGCTGTTGTTTTTGGTACAGAGGAATCCAACAGATTTTTGTATGTTGATCTTATATCCTGACAATTTGCTGAATCTTCCAGTGAGGTCTGGTAGCTTTTTTACTGAGTGTTTGGAGTTTTCTATGTATACTACCATTCATCTGTAAATAGAGTTTTACTTCCTCTTTGCCAACTTGGATGCCTTTCATTTCCCTGTCTTGCCATATAGCTCTTGCTAAGACTTCCAGCACAATATTGAATAGGAGTGGTGACAAAGGGCATCCTTTTCTGGTTCCTGTTCGCAGAGGGAAAGGGCCAGATTATTCTTAAGCCATGAACTCCACAGTGTTTATAGTTTGCCACTTTTGAGCTTTCTAAATGTCCACTCATTGCTCTGTCTGTATTCTTCAGTGACTGTTTCACTGTGATGCTTACAGTTCTCTGTGGGTGTGTGTATCTCACTAGTGACTTGCAATGTCAACTTTAGGGCCTGTGTGTGTGTGTTCCCGCTGTAAGCATGGGCCTCTAGATGAGTAACTGCCTAGCAGTTGTAGAGCTATCAGCATCTGGGTGATTCCAGTGTGACTTTTCCTTGTCCATTACTGTTCCTTTGCTCACTCTCATTCCACACTGCATGTGTTCCTACATTGTAACTCTGCAGTGAGGGAAATGACTCATTTCCAGATCATAGCCACATTCAGTTTTGTTAGAAATGCTCATGTTTTGTGTGATTATGGTTTTTTCTGGTTCTCAGTTTCTTGCCTTTGTCCATTTTCTAAGGGATGCTGATGCGTCCGACTGTAATAGATTTATTGTTCTCTGCAGTTCTCCTGACCTTTGTCACTGTGTTTGGTACACACACAGTAAAGTCTGTTATACGGTCTTGAAAACTTTTTCCCTTTATCATGGAATGGTATTTCTCCTGATGATTTTTTTTTTTTTCCTGGATGGTGTACTTTACTGATAGTACTTGACAAGACTGCTCTCTCTAAGCCCCTCCCCTTCTCCATGGGGTTTGGATGGAAACAAAGGATGGGAGCTTCTCAGTGTGCAGGGGGATAGAGTTGGGGTAAGGACTCCCAACAGCTGAGGGCCTCTTTCTTCCTCTAGTGATCAGGCTGCTGGTCTAGAGTCTCTTGTACCTTTGAGGCCATGTGGACCACAATATACACCACCCTGTTGCTGTAGCCGAATTCACTGTCATACTAGGAAGTGAGCTTGACAAAAGGGTCTTTGATGGCAATGCCAGCCCTAGCATCAAAGGTGGAAGATAGGCGTCACTGTGAAAGTCACAAGAGACTACCTGGTTTTCACTGTAACCCAGGATGCCTTTTAGGGGTGCGTGCATCTGATGCTTGCCTCACCGCCTTCTTGATGTCATTGTATTTGGCAGCCTTCTCCAGATGGCAGTTCAGACACATTGAGTGTGGGAACCCTGAAGGTCACACCAGTGAATTTCCCATTCAGCTCTGGGATGACCTTTCCCCCAGGTTGGCAGCACTGCTAGATGCAGGGATGATGCTCTAGGCAGCCCACGACCATCACGCCTCAGTCTCCTAGAGGGGCCATCCACAGTCTTCTAAGTAGCAGTGATGGCAAGGACTGTGGTCCTGAGTCTCTCCGAGATGCCAAAGTTGTCATAGATGACCTTGGCCACGGGGACCAGAGTTGGTGATGCAGGAGCTATGCTGACAATCTTGAGGGAGTTGTTATACATTTCATGGTTCACGTCCATCACACACATGGGCGCATCAGCAGAAGGGGCAGAGATGATTACCCTTTTGGCACCATCCTTCAAGTGAGCCCCTGCCTTCTCCCAGGTTGTGAAGACACCTGTGGACTCTACAACATACTGAGTACCACTTGATGTTGGTGGGATCTCACTCCTACACGATAGAGATGGACTTTCCATTGATGACAAACTTCCTTTTCTCAGCCTTGACAGTGCCATTGAACTTGCCATGAGTGGAATACTGGACCGTGTAGATCATGTTGTTGAGGTCATTGGAACGAGGCTTTCTGCGGAGTCTTTGCAATACGTAAAACTATAGGTACAAACCAGAACCACATCCAGATCACCAGAGATGAGAAATCCCCACTTGAAGGGACAAACTAAGAAGCCTGGAGTGGTGAGAACACAAGATACTTCTTGAATGGAAGACCTACAGGAAAAATACAACACAATGGAGACAGATGGACTGCTACTACAGGAACAAATGGGTCGCTTCCCTAGGGGACACTGGGGCAGTCGGTCAGGTCCCACCAATGTAGGCCACCCCCCAAAACTGAGACTCGGTTAAAATGCATGCTCGGATTGGTAAACACACGCATCACCGTTGGGGAGAAATGGGGTAAAGGCAGCAACGAAGCAGCGAGCTAAGCCTCACAATATTCAGAGGGCTTCTGTGGACCGGGTTGGGGACCAGGTTGGCAAGCAGTACGAGGTGACGCGAGGACTCCTGGGCCCAGAGTCATTGACATGGCCATGGAGGACTCAAGTGGAGAATGGAGCTGCCGGCTAAGGGGAAGAGATGGCATGTGTACAAGAACACCCACACCTGCAGATGACACCCACGTGACCAGGACTGGATGACTGGATGATCAGAGCTCAACCAGGAGAAGAAAGAAAAGGGGGTGGGGGGAAAGAAGACTGAGCTGATCCAAGCTGATGAACTTGACCTATGCATACGAATTGAGTGACACAAAAGAGGCGATAAATCCTTAAAGCAAGAAACATTCCCACCCCCTCCACACACAGAGAAGACAGAGAGGGGCAACTTGGACATTGGATACCCAAATGGGGAGGGAAGGACTACAAAGCCAAGAAGTAACTGGCTTACAAGCTTTCAAGAGGGAACCTAGAGCTAGGGGGCATGGAGGAAGGCAGAATCACCAGTGAGTACTATCCAATTTGTCTAGGTGGAACTGATGAAATGAAATACAGATGGGTTACGTGCGATACTGTAGTGAATAATGGTTGTCAAGACGGATTGTGAGTGTGGGAAATGCAAGGGTAGATGTTGTGTAGCAAGGAAGAGAGCGATTATTTCTCCAGTCTAG